GTAGACAGAGAGCGGTATTCAGACAGCGGAGACAGCTTTCTCCAGGTGGCTGGAACAAAGGTTGTCTTTGAAACGCGGCGCGCGACATCGCGCAGGGATCGGCCGGCGCTCGGCATCCAGGCGCGTAGACGGCGACGACAATCGCAAAATCAATTTGCATTATTCGTTTAAAAGTGTGCTGGTCTGTGACGTCAGCGAGGGTGAACGCGGGGGCGGCGGTAGGCGCGTAAGAGGGTGTCGAACGGGAGGCAAGTGGCCCCGTCTGGTCGTCGATGCTCTCAAACAATCCCTTTTCTCCGCTTCCACCACCTACCACCGCCACCGTCAACCCCCATCGCGGCCGACCGCCCGCCTATCCCCACCGTTTCTTCCGACGAGTCATCGAGAACACCCCTTCCGCGATCCACCCCACCCAGTCAACCCCTTTATCATACTTTTGTATACGTCCCTTAGCCATCGAAGCCTATGCAACCCCTCTGTCTTCCCTCGCAACCCCGCTGTGTTCTCTCTCGCGACAGCCGCCCCCCCTCCGCGGCTTTTTTCTTTCCGCACGCACAAACACTGCCCTGTGCACTCTTTCTATCTCTCCATCCCCTCCGAACCTCAGCCTTCCTTCTCTCCTCGGCTGAAACGCGACCCTTAACCCTCTGTTTACTCAGGATTACCAAGTTTCTCCATACCTGATTGTGTAACGAAAGTTATTTCGCGGACCTGCTCCTCCTTCCCGGTGTCTTTTTAATAACCGAGACTTTTTGTCTTCGAAAGGCACCAGAGTAATTATCGCACTAATTAGAAATGCTATTTTTGCGAAGACGTCGAAGGTTTATACAGCTTCCTTTCCCGGCGCGACAAATTGAAGGATTAAGTACATCCGGTTCGTTTAGACGTCGTAAGATTTCCGCGTTTGACCAACTTCGATGGTCGTCGGATCGAGTTTCTTGTTTCGGAGTAGACGAAAAGAGGGAAACAAGTAAGGGAAACTTTGGGCAGAGAGATGTCTACCTTTTTATTCACCCCCCGATCCTTAAACTCTGTTCCCTTTCCTTTGTGAGTTAGAACAACGTTAAAATCGTTGAAGATTTTCAACGCCTACCCGAATCGCTGAGAGAGAAACGTTTGCAATCGGCAAACAAGCGTGAAAGAGAGAAGTTATTATCTCGAAAAATCAGCCTCGGCACGCTTTTCTATAAATCTTACGGCATTACGTCCCTCTCACGAGCCGGTGAGAGGTGGTACCAGTTAAATGGGAAAAGTTTTGCTTTTAAGCGAGCCGGCTCGCGGCTGCCTCGCTCACGGAAAAAGAGAAAATTGTTCCGCCCGCCTCGCTGTCGATGTCATTTAAGGTTGGAAAATCCAGACTGAGTAGGCGTTTTCGGAAATACGCGGAGCTACCCCGCGACTCGGAATAATACCGTTAAAACTACGTGACGCTTAAACGTGTTTAAAAAACCGAGCGACGATGCAACAATTCGTTTTTCGTACGCGTTATCATTTTCTAGTTAATAACTTAAAATCGTATTTCGCGTATCGAGTGCCTTTTTGTAACCCGCGGCTCTCGACGCGTTCGCGTTTTAAATAAACAAATAAATAAAATGGAGCGCGAAATCACGTTGCGATCGACGTGTTTATCGCCGACGCGTCGCACCGTTCGGAATCCATTTGGAGCGAACGCGAGCACCTGTCGATTCCGCGGTGTTTTCCAAAAATCTCGGGGTTCGCGCGGGATTCAATTTACCGCGTATAATCGCACGCGTCGGTGTCGTTTCAATTTCGACTCCGCGATAAAAGTCGCCGATACACACACGTTTACAGCGACACCGCTAGCCGCGAAAACACCGCCGGCATGTCCATTGAGCGGTTTAATTAAGTCGATGGACGTTTCCACTGAGCCATACCGACGAATATGCACGGAACCTCTGCCGTTTCGGAGCCTCGTTTCCTTTTTAATACGATCTCCTTACGGGATATACTTTTCTACGAGAAATGACATAATCAACTGTTCCGTGTGTCGTTCGAGCATCTTTAAAAGACGTTTCGTCAAATAAGGCATCTTGAAATCATTGCGAAACCGAAAGGTGTAGACGACGAACAGATAAGTATGTGATGATCAAGTCGTCTGTCTCAATACCTATCCAGCCGTGCAATAACCCCTTCAAGATCTGTCCCCGTATTCAACGGTACTTTGCGCGGAAAAACCGATCCTCCATGCTCGAGGAGAATCTTCTGCTTCTGTTTAATAGCGCGACACAAGTTCCCTCGGTTAATGTGCCGTGGCAACTCCTCCCGGCGCGGTGCAAAGGCGACCGACTCCACGGACTCAGGAAGCTGCTCGCGTTTCTTATTATCGATCCACCGTAATTACGTCGTCAAACGTTCTAACGAGGAACGCTTGCCACAACACGAATCGAGTCAATTTCCAAGGCCTATGGGCGAACCGCGAGACGAATCGGAAAACGGTTTCCCTGCGATCGATAATGCCCCCAACCCCCCACCCCCTCTGTGCACCTCGTCATCCGCTGGCGAACACTTCCTTCCCGTAAGAGGGTGGGAATCGTTACTTTTTTTTTTTTTTTTTTTTATTTTTTACTGCAAGAAGTCCGCTGGTTCTTCCTTCGATAGCGGAGTTTCGCGAGGACACGTAGTGGGCTCCTATTCGTGTTTCCTCTTTTTTCCCAGTTTTACGGTCCGCCAGACCGATTCGAGTGGTTACTTTCAGGGAGAACACCTTTATGCTCCTGGAGGTTGCTCTTTTTTTATCCCCGTCCCATAGAACGTGCGAATCGTCGACTATTCTTTCCCTCCCTATTTGAGAAAAAATCTAAGGAACCGGTGGATCCTTCGACTCGTTAATAAGCACTCGTCGAGCGAGCACGAGGGCTAACCGGTCGATAGAGAGAGGAGGCCCCGCTTGGCGAATCTCTTACCCTATGTATTCCAAACTATTCACTCGAATGTTCTATACGTTGTTCGAATGGATACTTTTCTTTCCTCGGTAAAAGTTACCGGAAGAACTATATAATTCAATCCATATGAAAAAGGGCACTATCTATCCCCCGGGTCGTGATTACAACCGCTTTAATAAGAAATTTCCTTAGAATTGCTGAACTAGTTTCTCGACTCGAATTATTTCTTACTGTTCGGTAACAAAAGTCCTCTCGATTCAGTTTCGCGATTTCACTGAAAAACTTTTTTCGCCGGAACCTCGGTCTCGAGACTCTTTATTTAATTATGAATGCCGCTGAGGTAAATCCAATTCTCACGCGTTTTTCCGATACGGATACCGCTTCACCTATAGCTCGGGGAAAATTGTACCGAGAGAGAGACGCGTGTAAAACGAAGAACAAACCTACGCGCTTTGTAACATGGTATGGGTAACGATTATTCTGCTCGGAGCGAAGTGAGCTTTTGTACTTTAAAATGGCCTCCTCCAGCGACGCCCCATAGAATCATCAACTTGGCAAGTTTCCGTTCCCTCTGTTCGCAAAACTGAGCAATGCGAAGTAGTTTACGATGTATTTATAGTGATTTACAGTAAAATCGTGCCGTTTCCTACAATAACCTTGTATTTAAACGCGACGACGCACAATATTGTTTAGTTCTCCAGCCAACTTTTGCCCGATACTTTACGTTTTATGACGTCTAAATCATCCTTATCAGCGGAAACTGCTCGAACGATGTGCAAATAAAGCAGGGGAAAAAGAAATGAGAAACCGAAGTAAGACGGCACACGCGTTTGACCAAAGTGAATCGGTTCGCACTCGGAAGAAAATGGGACGAAGGGAGAAGAAAGAGGGAATCGATTCGGCTGGACGTGTTAACCCCGGCTATGTGTTTTGAACGCAACGTGTGAAAATCGAAGAGATTTTACGGCGACCCGTCCTCGAGAGCTCCTCTTTCTTCCAGATTAGCCACGTTCCTCGAGGAGAAACCCCAGCTCCGGCACAGCTAGAGCCTTTACACGCGCCTACTCGGCTCTTATTGGCATTTAATTGTCCCTGGCTGTTGTACACGCACGGGCAGGTATCACTTCGCACCGTGCGAAAGTAGAATTGAACGAAACACGTGGGAAAGCTCTGGCCCGCGCGCCTCCCATCCGGCGCGCAATTTTATAGAAAATCTAGAAATCGTCGGATCAAAAGGACTAATTACGTCCCGCGACGCGGACGTCTCAATCCCGTTTCTACATCCGCGGCGCGAAAAACGTAGTTGCCGCGCCGCGGATGTAGTCGCTCAATTTTCTGCCTCCGGTGTTCGGCGAAAAATCCGTTTTGTTTACGCAAGGCGAGAAAGCACCGAAAACGACGATGTTTTTGAACGAGCTGCGATCCGCGAAAATAAATTGAAAACCGTTCCGCGGCCTCGCGATCGTTGCGGGGGAAAAAGCGTCGTCGCGCGGCAGCCAGTAACTTTCACGCGTACGTGAATCGACGAACAGCTCGTGGAATTTCTCTTAATTCCACTCGTGCCTATTTTTTGTCATTTATCGACTTTTCCATAGGCGGCCACGTTTACGTTAACTTTGCGTCGCGGCATTAATCATACCGGCAATTTCGCCCGCGGCGTTTATCCCGACGACGACGACGCGGAATTTGAAGTTTTTGTACGGCCAACCGGCGAGGGAGAGAAAGCCGAACCGGCGACAGTAGTGTCTGCGTTTTGAAATTTGATCTACTTCGCTCAGTTTCACCATCTCTCGACCCGACAATTCACCTAATAAGCTACGTGCGCGCGTGTGTACGTACGCCCTCCTATATGAGTCTCAGTACGTGTTATAATGAAACATATAATGAATAAATAGTTCCAAGAATGTGAACAAATTGAAATTTATTATTTTTAATTGAAGAATACTTTAGATTCTGAAGAAACTTCAGATATTCAGTTCATAATTCATTGTACATTCCGATAATTGAATTACTATATTATTTAATGTAATCTTTCAGATAGATTAATTTGTAATATTTATCAAACTCTTTTATAGACAATGAACACTTGGAAGTGTCCTGAAAGTTGTGACTGTTGATGTGTATACTAGCAGAAGCATTTTCTAGGGCAACAACCCTTAACCCTCATTCACGCGTGGCGTCGATTAAAAGCGGTTCTTGCAAGAGAATTATTATTACACGGATAAATTTATCCGGCGCGAGAAGAATTTCATTATCAATGATTTACTATTATCGTTAATATATTCGCGTATTACTCTGTAGTAAAACACGTGCAAATTGCTAAGACATTTGCATGCTAATTACTTAATGTGTTCAAAGTGGATAAAAGTTTTTTTGAAAAGCGTCGCCGGAATAAGATCGACGAGAAGTATCGTAAATAGAAGACGGAGTGATCAGAGAACTTGGGACTAACGGACAATTAAAGATCCGGAAAAAATTGAAACAAAACACGGCTCGTTAAAAATTGAATCGCAACGCTGGATGCAAAATTAATTCGCATTTAATGAAGCGTTGATGAATTAAACATAAAGCCGCAGGTACCCATGCCTTTTAAAGAAGCTTATACGTATCCTTCCACAAAACGTCACAATGACGCACGGTTCTTAATCGATTTCATTTCAGCGAAAACAGAAATTTCCTTGTAAATAGAAACGGCGAAGTGGAGAGAAAAAAAGCGAGAAGAAAAGAAAACGTACTAAACTTCGCGTCGGCCTTAGGAACGAGCCAGTGCCGTTCGTCACGACTTATTAGTGTTTACCAGGAAAAATATGCTAGTAACGATGATGATAGAAATCCTTCTTACGCCGTATTAAACGCGCAGAGAAAAAGAGAAGACAGAAAAAATGATAATAATATTTGAAATACCTAGAAGACAAGATTCTGTCGTCGGTTTGTACTAAGGCACTGTGGAACTCGGCTGTGAGTTACGTATAAAGAAGAAGGAAAACAAAAAGCGACGCAAAAAGTTACGCGATCATTTTTGTTGTCGGATACGAAAATTTTCTAAGCGAAACTGGCGTCGCGTTTAATATTTATGCGCGAACGATACCGCGGCACGAGTAAAAACGATACAGTCTAATTATCTGTCGGTGTTTTTCAACAATGGGACCGTGCGGCAACGCAAATATGTAACGATATCAACAGTTCCGGAGTGTTTTACGCGGGTCACTATCCGGGCATGTTACAGAAACACGCGCGGCCGTGCGTTGCACGCGGGAGGGAAAAGAAGCGGCATCGGCCTCTGAGAGTGAACACATTTTTCATGGCACGGAAAAAGATTGAACGGGGCCGGGAGTCAAGACGTTCGCACGGTTATCTTCGATATTGACTCTCCTATCCCCACTCGTGTGCAAACGTCGAGAGATGTTGCATCCGTAGTGGTTCGCCATTGCTACTCGTGTAACACTTCCACCGCTGCTCAAGAAGATCCCGATAAACACGCAATTTGTTATTCGCAGAAAATAAGTTAAAGTCCTCTTTACTTCATCATATTTTCCAATTCTTGTCCCCGAATATTTTCCATTTCCTTATTCATGCTCGTTGTTATACGAATTCTAAAAATTAGAGTAGATTAACATATTTTGCTATTTTCTAGGAACAGTTTTGCAGTCCAGATTAGAACGTTCGCTAATCGCGAATCACGATGCATTTGCATATTTTCAAGTTCCTCAATACGATGCAACCGTTGCCGAATCTTCGCGGATGTCGTTACACCGTGGTTTTCTACACTGAACAGAGGTCGTTCGCACCGTGACGGCCATAATAAGCCGGCGTGCTTCGGAACCGCATGGCTGCGTGAGTACCCGAGATCGTCTTTATGTTTTCTCGATCGCGAACGACATGACGCCTTCCTCATCTCTTCCCGATTAATCCTCGAGATTGATCTCTGAATCGCAGCCGTGTTTATGATTAGACATTATAATCAGCCCCACTCTTGCGCTGTCATCGTTGCCGATTATCATTGTCATTTGTGCATTTTTATTCCTTTCGACACGACCAAAGCGGTTGACGTATTATATCTATATATACTATTTACAGTCATCAGTGAACTTTTTTGTATTCATTCGTATGCAATAAGTTGTTCAATATTCAAGCGAATCGATGGAAAAATCGACGAAATGAGTGTGCGCGAGCGCTCGAAGAATGTAGAAAGACGATTTTCGGTCGGAAGTGAATCGGCGAAAAAAGAAAGGACGTCTTAAACGAGTTAAAAAAAAATATAAATAGTATTCTCGGTTAATCCTAATCTTAGACAAGCTCGAGCTAACGAGCCAGCAAATATAAGCTACAGCCACGGTTTACGTATTACAAACTCGTGGGTCGTGTAAAGTAGAATACGGCGAATCACGCGGCTTTCAATGATACCTGATTTCGTTTGAAACGTGAAAGGAACGGAAGGCGGATTTGTATTTTCATTTGGAAAATTTCAGGCTTGATCTCGGCGACGATTGCGCAATCGTGGTTCTTTACAGACTACGAAACGATCACGAAACCGATGCCAGGAACGTTTTCGAACGAGGCGCGATGCGATACGACATTTCTTCTCCCGCTGGCCCGTGGCTCTCGATGCTCGCCTTATTTTCCACCGAAACGGGGGAAACGTCCATAAAAATTCATGAACACGTTGGAAAGCGTACGATTTCCCACGATCAGCCTCGAAAAGGTGCTACGAAAAAATTGCGAGTCACAATGGCAATCGGTAATTTTCCGATATGTCGCGAATCGTCGGCCGTGGTGTTATTTTTGGAAAAACCCCGACGACGACCGATCACATAAATTACTATGAGTAAAACGCATCGGGCACACCACGTGTCAGAAAATTGCGTATAAGGCAGGTGGTCTGCGATGACGTCAAGTGCATGTGTAGCTGCTCTTTTTCGAAGAGTTTAATAATTCACTATGACGCATCGTCCACGAGAATCACTGACGTGAGATAACGCAATTTTTATATGAAAGAAAAAGCGCATCACTCGGCACAATAGGATTTTTTACAGTCTCGATAACTTCGTTCCGAGCGTAGATCATCGGCTTTGAAAAACCGTATCCGAGGATGAGCAATAAAGAGGTTCGTTTTAATGAGCAAAAACTGGAGACGATAGCGATTGAATTTTTTCTCTGATAAAAATTTTTGCCGCGTCGTTCGCGCGCGACAATACACTACAGATAACGATAGTCCGCGGCGAAAATACATCTCATCGTCTCACGTTCTATTACGTTTCACAAAAACGCAGAGGTATTCGCCGGTGACAACTTCCGTCATGGAATAACAAAAAAAGGATCGTTGACGAGAAACGCGCACAAAGTGGTATCAAACTATTATGAAAATTGCAACAGAAATTTGCAAGTCAGTGCTTTACAAAAACGACAAGACTGATTAGAACTTTTCCTAGAACGAAAAATTTCCACACGAAGATAAGCATTGAATTAACTATCGTTCCCTGTTACTGCGCGTCGCGGCGAGGTATTCACGGAAAGCTCCTTCCTTAATCTGATTCGTAATGATGAGTCACCTCCATTCGAAAACACTGCGATCCGAAGACGCAATTTCTACTCGAAAACGTGAAACGTTTTTCTCGAGCACGTGCCTCCTCCGCCAGGTAAACATTTAAAAACCTCATGTCTCGCGGCCCGACCTCGGTTCCCGCGCTTTCGCGCGAACGCACGAAATAAACAGAACTTCGGTTAGTTTGATTGGTTACATTTCGATGCGTTATCATCTCGTAGCATCGAACGAGCACGTGCTAAATGGTCGATAACACGTAGGTGTCAAGAACCGCGCCTACGTCGTTCAAAGCGGACGCACATATACCCTACGTAATAGGACTGGATCATACTGGTGTGGCCGAACTGTTTTAGGGTCATGCCAGTCTCGAAAAGCGCGCACGCTTTCTGCGAAAAAGTATGATGCCGAAAAAACGTTAAAAAGGGCGAAAGAAACGTTGGTATACACATTCGCGTAGAATCGCGGGGACACGTTTGTTCCTATCTGACTCGCGATTCGTTCCACGAGAGCGTGCTCGTTTCGGCCCTCTCTCTCTCTCCAAGCCTGTGTTTGTTCTCCCTCTTCTTCCCGCTTACTTCCAACGGTTGTATATCAGCCGCTCGTAACGAATACTTAGGCGCACGGGTCACGAGGAGAAAGAGAGAAACGTCGGGGTGAAGCGCGTCAATGAAGACGATTGTTTGACAGGCAGCGTCTTCGTCGTTTCTCACCGGCATAGGACTGTCATCGTCGTCGTCACTGTTGTTATCATTAAAATTTGCAATCGGAAAATTCGTGTCGACGCTCCTGCAGAACCGTGAGAGGGGCGGTAGAGAGCGCGTTTACACGCAGCTGGAAGGAAGGGGAACAGCGCGAGAAGGGATAGAGTAAAAAGAGAGTGGGAAAGAGAACGAAAAAGAGGGAGCGCAGAAGGGAGAAAGAGAAAGAGACGCCGGTCTAACATGGCAGACGATGCCATGCAGGCAGGAAAAAACAAGATCTCTAACGTCCGAGCGCGCGATAGACGGGAAGACAGTCGAGATTCGCGAGATTATACGGAAGAAAACATGGTGCGTACTCACGTTCTGGTGAATCGGTCCGCTGGCTGTCGTTCTTAACGTGCTCGTGAGAAGAGTAACATTTAGAGGAGAGAGAGAACACCACGCGGGGTCACGCACTCCGTCCCGTGCGGGTCTCGTCAACGGAAAAACAACACCCGGCGCGTCCGTCTCGTTCCCGTCCCAAAGAGATCGCTGTCCGTTGACAGAATGGACGGGCGTAAAGTAAATCACCGGCACCACACAATAAACGCGCGTGTGTTACGAAGTGCGTCGCTCGCGTTCGTTTGTTGTTTTTGATAACGCAGGTGTTCCACGGGGCGTGGAGGGCACGCAGCACATACAAACGTTGTACGCACGAGGATCCTCTCTCTAACGAGGAGACGTGTGACGATCAAACGACGTGACGAACAAAATGGCGTTTGCCGGACCGCCCGCGCGCGATCAGGTGGAAAATGCCGGAATGCTGCTGCTAGGAAAGATCGACTGACTGCCGAGGTCCGCGGCCCTAAGTGGTTTGACGTTAAGAACGAGCTGAACGAGCAAGAAAGAGAAAGAGAGACGGACAAAGACGAAAGGGTAGAGAGAGGGAGACAGCTTGTCAGAGCGAGACAGAGAGGGAGGAGGAAGAGACTGAGAACGACCGTCAACGTGTACGAGAGAAACAGAGATAGTAACATCGTGCTTGTAGGAAGGGATACATCCGATGGTGGGAGATCGAGGGGATGGTCGTAAGCGCAAGAGGGGAAGCATCCCACTATTTTCCACTGTCCTCGGACGACTTCGACTACCTTCGATTGCTTTCGACTATAAGCAGGGCCGTCTCGCATTATTTCTATCGCGGGTGGGAATTTTCCTGTTGTCACAAACAAATGCCGCAAAACATTCTTACGAATACTTTCAAATATGCAGGTTCGTGCACCGCACTCTTACCACCGTTCCACCTGCTTTACCGATGAGATTTTCAACGATTCATTGAAAATACTTGCTCCCGGGCAAACATTCTATCTGTTTTGACCAAACATCGCTTTATTATTTCTGTACAGAATAAATTGTTCAGTCGTTCCTTTTATTACCTATTGTTTTCGCTGCTACTACTACTGTCCCAAAGTATAGTTCTTGTTTGTGTCTCCTTGAGATACTATTTTTAAATATGAAATTTTTAAATTCAAATTAGTAAACGAACGAATTTTTTAATATCTTTTTGCTAATATTTGACGACATGCGTCAAACGTCGGCTAACCGAGGTTTTTACAACAAGCGACACATTCAATATGCTAAAACGTAATTGAACGTGTACTTAGAATAAGAACAAAACGTTCGAAGAGCTTATGCGAAACAAGAGAACACGTCTTAATGAATTACGTAACGAGCGTTCGCATCGTTAATTTGCAGGAAGACATAAGAACGTTTGGATCGAGTCAAGAATTCGGAGAGAATTCTCGAGATGAAATATAGACGTTCCGCGTTTTCGCGGTACACACGGCAGCTCCTTCGGCTTGATAAGTCTAGAGTTAATTACGTTCTCCCGGTTTCTATCGGACGTTGCCCGTTAAAAAGGTTTCGTAAAACAGAGCCGCACCGCCCTAGGACGCGCAATGGCTCGAGGGCTACACGCTTATGTTTCTTTTCCGGCCGCTGTGTTTCTTTCCTTCGCTTGTACGTTTCGTTCGCTCGCTCGCTCGTTCGTTCCTACGCTCGCCGTTCGGCCGTCTCGCGAGGAATTTCTAAAAATCAATATAGGCGCAAAGCGAGGAGGGGCCGCAAAAAAATTCGATATCCCATTCGCCTCGTTCCTTTTTACCTTTTTCGCCGTCTCTACGTGTTTTTCTTTTTCTTTTTTTTTTCTGCAACGCGAATTGCGCAGTCGAGAAGAGGAGGCAGAGGAGGAGGAAGAGGAGGAGGCTCGTCCCCTTATGGTCCCCAGGGGAAGAGCGTGGCTATTCGAATCAACTCGATCTTCGAGGAAGAGAATCCACGAAGGAAGTGGCTGGCTGCGCGGAACCTATGGGTACCGAACAAGCGCGGGAGAGTTTATTTTCTCAGAAGTGTAGCGCGCCGAGCTTGGTACAGTCCCTGCCGTTACTGGCTGAATAATTTCATCCTCCCCGCGTATATACGCTCCGAGATAAGCCTACGCTTGAGCCTGAACGCGATCAAACGTATCACCGACACCCGTGCCCACCCGTGCCCGCGCATCTTTTCTCAGCGATACGATCTTCGCGTTTTACTCTGAATGCTCGCCTCGATTAAAAACCGCTTTAAAACGTTCGAGGATCGCAGGAAAACCTAACATCCTTTTCCATTTCTCAAGGCTCGATTGTTCGCGGTTCTCGACATCCTTAGATGGGTTAAGGACCTTTTACCTTGGAACGGTCGATCATATTGCACAGCGCAATGCTACTACCAAGCGCACGGAATGCGATTCTCATTTTATACTGCGCGTTACTTTTATTACCGCCGCGAAATATTTCTTTATGTTTCTTACTCAAGCAAGTCTCTTAAAGCGGAGGAAAAATGAGAGATAAGGAAATACGGAGAAATTTTCGAGAAAAGAACTGCAATCAGACGAGATTGAAGGAAGATCATTAATTTCATCCGTCAACATCCCCGGTACGTTTACTTAGGAAAGTACCCGACGATGCCATTGATTGTCTTACGAAACTTTCAGCGACCCCCTGAATTAAATGGGGGTTACATATTCGGTCGCCGGATCGTTATTTCTGAAACTTTCAAAAAGACAATTTTTCAAGCCGTGGCACATAGTGCTTGGAAACGTTATTTACAAGTAAGCTCAAATACCGAGTTCGTGCATTAGGTAATGGTTCGACCTCATCGGAAGTACTCGCTCTGGATCTTTTAAGCGTGTGTGTATTTTTGTTAAGGGTTTTCACGTTAGAGGAAAAACTTAAAAAATAATTAATTCTGTGGTTTAGTCTACAGGAAATCAGAGATAACAGATCGGCTGGTCCAATGTAATTTATATCGCAGCCAGACGTAACACGAGCATCACACCAAACGCTGTTACCAAATGCTTTCGGCTATGTGTCACAGGGACGAACATTTCAGACGAATCATCAGACTCTTTCTCTTTCTCTCTCTCTCTCTTTCTCTCTCGTCTCACATTCCTTCTAATTGATCGCTGCATTTCTACCAATGAAAGATCGGTTCCCTGTGCTACACAACCACAACAATCCCATCGCGTTCATCATCCGAGTATGCATAATCGGAGCCAAGCAAATTGTTTTTCGGTCTAAATCGCGTATCTTTCCCATGCGGGAAACGAGAAAAAGCGAGTTGTTTCACTGACTCGTTATCGCATTGATAATCATTTGTTTTTCACGCTTTTTAATCGGCAGTGCATTAGAAGAATGTAGTGCTCAATGGAAACTAATCGAAAAAAGGGGGAGAGAAGAAAATCGGCGTTACCTGTTGTATAGTGAACTCAGCGAGCGTCTGCCCTTTCGAAAACCTGTTGTTGCAGCCGGAAACGGACTCGGAAGTAGTTGGTACCGTGGAGAACATTAAGCTAATCCCGTGCCCTCTGTCAACGGATAAAGGCCTGGGATTGGCTAATACTAGCTTCAAGGCCGAGGGCACCTCTTACCCTTCCTACGAACCGTTGCTTCGCATAGTTCGTCCTGGGACCGGATACAACATCTTTCCGTATAAGGGTGATGGATCCATAATTTTTCTATTCGCGCGATGACTGTCGTTCCGCGCTAATTTCCATTTCAAACGTCTATTGAATATCAAATGTATTCGAACAAAGTTGCATGACGTTTCAGCAAAATTATTGAACCAAAACTGTTTAACATGTACACAATAAATGTATCATCGATAAAATAAAAAATGATGATCAACAGTTTTTTCAATGTTCGCTAACGTAAATGAAAATAGGAAAACGTGACACGGACGTAATTATAGAAAAAAATGATAGGTGACATTGCTTGGTCATTGTTTGTTCTTCGATGAACATGAAACAGTGATTTTTCCAAAGTTCCTGCCGGTGTCGAATTGAAGGACAATTTATCAGCGGCACGCATTCATATGCACAGCAAGATTACAAAATTGGACTTCTGATCGGCGCACTTTATACGCGACATTAAATGCATACGATTCTAATATGCTCTACTGATTGAGCCTGATTGCTGTACGTAATAAAGTTCAACTTTATGCGAAAGAATAATTTCCTTATTACACACGCGAACGCGAAACTTCACGATGTTACCTCGAAATTACGAGCAACTAAGAAAGTTATAGGTATATTCTAATTACCGGAATGGATATGAATCAGGTTATCGAATGATGGGTAACAGGTGCTGGAAAAACATAGAAAAAATGTAGCTTATGCATGTACATCACAACCTGAAAGCAGCGAGCCTTTTCTTAAACAGGCGATGCGTTCGACGTCCGGACAGAAAAGGGCATAATATGGTCGTTGCCGTTCTGCTCAGCTAGCTTTCCTTATTCTCGTCGGGGTTGAAGCTATTTCGAGGCAAAAATCCAACTTCCAACTGTTGCGCAAATCGTCGCGCGCAAACGCAGTTTCGGAGGCGTGGCAATGAACAAAGGGCCCGGAAGTGGCTGATAACATGCTGCTCTCCATTTTCTCTCCCTGTTCCTCTTCGATTTACGACTTCTTGCAAGGCTAGCCAGTTCGTCGGAAACCAGAGAGATGAACTGTGTTACGCTAAAGTTAAGTTGATCATCGCAAAAGGGTGGTACACTCTTCCAGGAAGCTCTTTTCCGCACAGTATCCGTCTGGAATCCGAGATAATACAAGCCGTTTTATCACAATCATGTTAGGAAACGAAACGTAGCACTCGTCTCGTACTCAATCGGTCCTTGTTTAATTTCAATTGTTCCTTGTTTCTCATCGTACAACATTATGCGTTATATCAATTTTATCCTTATCGCAATAGCAATTTTTACGAGATTTTTTCTTATCTAATAAACTGAACATGTTAACCTAGAATGTGTTAGCCGAATATAAATCTTGCGCGAAATTTACACAATCGATCCGTCCAATTACACGTTGTCAAGCACTGAATATTTTTCGAGAATGTAGAGTAATATGATAACGGAGATGTAAGAAAATAGAGAAAACGCGTTGAACAATTTAGGATTTGATCGCGAATCCGGTACCTGCACGATAACGAAGACGTTCTTTTAGGTCCCGCTGAAGCAATACGTAAAGTGCATTGGTACCGTAGTCCCGTAGCGATGCAATCCTGCGGTGACAAAAGTAATCGAGCGTAGGGAAAATAATTTCTCACAATAAATCTTCTTTAATTTTGAATCTTCTCACGTGACACTATATTCGGGAATTCGTCGTAAATAAAAATTTCATCATGGTAAGCAACCAAAAGTCAGTAATTTTTAACCTTTCTACGTCATTCACAAACTTCCGTTTGTCAAAAAAATTAGAAATTGGAAAAGATCTATCTTAAATCGTTACCGCAGCTCGCGTATATGAGACGTTCAAAATGCTGACTGTCTTTCGTATGAATAAGAAAATATTCGTAGTGAATAAATGAGATCGTAATCTAACCTTAAATGGTCACTTTCAGGATGTATCCGCTTTTTCCGAGGATACGTTCGATGTCAAAGATTGGATTAATAAAACGTTCAAGTCCGCTGAAGCACAAGAGAATAAAGATGTGAGTCTTACAATTATGATGATCCTACTCGCGCGGTCCTCTTTCTTCCCGTGACACAGTTTTTGAATTTCAGCTGCACTAGTCAGTCACTAACTGACTGCATCCATTGCATCACGGGTCAATGACACCGTGTACCTTTTTCAAAAATGATTTTTTTGCTTCCCTTCCTGCACCGCAAACAAAAATATCTTATCGAACGATCAATGCGTTTACGAAATATTCGATTCATTAAAAAATTTGTATTTAAACAATGCTTGTGTGACCTAATTTTATTTTTTCCCATCCCTTTGATTAAATATTCTTTTAAATAAAATATTACCGGCTTTAGGCGTTTGTCTCGTCGTTGGTGATGAAGTTGCAATTGTATGTGCAACAAGTCAACGGTGCCTTAGAGGAAACCAGTCAATCTATTCTTTCAAGTTTACCAAGAGTTTTAAGAGACACACAGCTTTTACAGCAAGAAGCGTTAGCACTTATGGAAAAGATGGTTGCTGTTAAACATGAAATAGAAAAGGTTTTATCTCTTGTCTCTCAAAGTAATCCAACTGGGAGCTATTTAAGAGTAATATTTATTGTATGCGTATGAATAGGTGGAAAAAGATACTGCCTCCTCAATGGCAACATTAGAGAGGATAGACAGGATAAAAACGGACTTGCAGAATGCCAAGCAAGGTTTACATGAGGCTGATAATTGGAGTGTGCTAGCTAACGACGTTGAAGAGGTATATTATGCGTTAGAGGCAAGCTGAATCTATGCTTTCATAGTATTAATTATGTTTCAGGTGTTTGAATCGGGAGATATAGTAGCTATTGCAAATAAATTGTTCAGTATGCAAAAGTCCTTGTCTATGCTTGTAAATGTCGTTGATTACGAGGATAAAAAGTTGCAGTTAGAAGGTTTAAAAAATCGCTTAGAGGCAATGGCTAGTCCAAAATTAGTTCAGGCATTCACTGCTGCTAATTTGGGTAAATTTATATTCGTTTTATTCGCATGCTATCTCGTCTCTGAAGATTTCTAATACGTGTCTGTAATATGGAATATTCAGAGCAGTCAAAAATTTATGTGGATATCTTCAGCAAAATGGAACGTTTGCCACAACTTCTCAAGTATTATCACAATTGTTTAAAAGTATCACTAGGTCAAGAATGGCGGAGAACAATCGAATTGGCACAGGACGAAAATGTTTCTTACTGGCTTCATATTTATTATGATAAATTATTATCTACCTGGAACGATCAGGTAATAGACTTATATTTTTTATTAGCATATTTAATGTAAAAGTTTGGTCTAAACTATAATTTTGATAAAGGTGAAGTGGTATCATCAAGTATTTCCCAATACAGCGATTGACGTGATAATTGAGGTATACGCTGATCTTTTGCGAAGTTTAGATCCAGGAATTCCAGAATGTATAGAGGCGATATTGAAGCAGCATTCGACAGCTATGCAATTATCATTGTTACTTGAACTTAAACAAATTACGAGACATTTTGCGGTAAATCTGCAAGGCGCGATTGAAACGTCGTCCCATGGGAAATTGCAAAATCAGAAACTGTTATCGTTAGCGCAAGCCATCTACGCGCCTTATGTTCCACATGTTACAAAGTATAATATCTATGAAACAGCTCAGCTCGAGTCTCAACTTCAATCGATGAAATCTACACATGATGATTTAAGCGACACGATCAATGTTCTTTCTCTTAGTATTTCCAGAATAATGGAATACGCAAACGAAGCTAATAAAAGATGTAAACTTTTTACGGAAGGCTGTGGTTACCCCGGATTACTGAAATCGTTGTCTGTATGTCGTTAAGAACTAAATTTAAGAAAATATCCGTATTAAATAGGTACAGTAAAAATATGTTTTTACAGAGTTACTTCAACAAATGTCTTGAAAAATATCAAGCTGCTATATGGCAATTAGAGCGCAAAAAAGTAAAACACGAAGATTGGAATTTGTTCCAAATGTGCCTTACTCTAATGCAAACTATAGGTAACATATTGAACTTTCCCTTTAGCGAATACAAAGTAAAGCTTCTCATTGCAGGTGATCTTTTGGGACAGATTCAACAGTTCGAAAAATCGCTGGTAATTGATATCACTGAGGCTAATAATAAGTTGCAAAGCACAAATGTCAGTGTTTTTAATCAGTATAAGAAGTTACTTTTAAATGCATCAAGTCAAACCGACTTGGAGAACTTAGTCTTATCATTCCAAAAGGGTAACTGATATAAAGATAGAGTTTCGAAAGCCTAAAATCATTACTCAATATTTACACTACTTATTCTTGCAGAGGAAGAAACAATTCTAGATCCCATAATAAAGTCTATCCATAAACTTTGTTCGGACTTACACCGCGCGACATACGAAGTAATCTTTGCACCAATCTTTACACAGTTATTATTGGTGCAAA